AAGCTCTTAGAGTTTTTGCTTGTACCTGCACTGCCGGATTATGTGTACCAATTAATCGTTGAAGCGGATGATTTGTTAGAAGCTGTATGAGGATACTGAGGAGCGCTGGTTCCCTTAGGCTTTCTGCTCTGTTCCACTTAAGACTGTATGCTAGAGCGGAATGTCACATCCCCAACATCTAGAAGCTTTAACTCCCAAATGAAAATTTACTTTCAAGCCCAAGAAGCAGGGGTCATACTCATGATCTCCTGGCACGTCGATGCTCGCTGATTCGTGAAAGTTTCAGAAATCGGTTGTTTAATTGCCGTGTCACTGGCCATCCTGCGACTGTGTGACGTGACACTTGGGGTAATAAAGTAAGCCGGTGGTAAAGGAGCTGCTTGTTTGCGTTGTGGCTTCAGTGCAAGACAGTTTTCCATTTCTCAATAAAGTGACCCACTACTAGATTGTCCTGCTTGAGCTGTTCTCAATACAGTGACCCACTGATGGATTGTCCTGCTTGAGCTGTCTCAGCTCTCCCTCAGCTTGTTGACATACTGCTATTACCGTAAAAGCCGGACCCAGAGCTTGCGTAAACCCTTGAAGTGTACTTATACCTGCAGGCAGACGAGTTCCTCTACATGAATAGGATTACCACTGAAAGGCTTCTACTTTCAATAAACCTGCCAGAAGGAGCACCAATTTCTCTTAACCTGCAAGTCACAAAGCAAGGCGCATATCCGAAAGGCTTAGAGCCTCTTTACGTGATTGTCCATCCTTTCAGCCACCACATTTTTCTTGTCGCCATGACATTGGCGCTTTCGTAGACCTTGTATGGGTTGAGGGTTCATGGCTTCCTGCTAGCTGTGGAGCTACTGCGTGCACACGAGCTCACACTTCACCTACTGCCTCTTCAACACGTATTGTGCCAGATCCAATATCCATTGTTGATTGCTTTGCGTTCTTTCGTTTGATTTCAAATTAGGTAATACTACTGAACTACCAATTGGCTTGATCGAAGCAAGACGATTGGTACAAAATGAATTGTCCTGATATCACACTCTATTTAGCAACCTTGAAATAGCGGGGAACTGCCTCATCAATCGATGGAGCACTACTAGCTGTAACAATATATTTAAGGTCTCCGTAGAAGGATCTTTAACTTCAGACTGTTCACAAAATCGATATCAAAATATTGAATGTTGTCCACGAAGAACTCACGCCTTCCCCCGCCCGGCCACCTCAGAATTACCAAATTGAGAAGGGAGGGGCATCAAGGGTGCAAAAGTGCACCCTATAAGCATCGGGACGATTCACAGCTAGTTGCATCCAGCGCGCACGCATATAACATTGAATGCTTTTGTGCCAAGCTAACGATTCACTGCAAAAAAGAATCTACAAACGCAGGTAAACCAAGTCGTCATTTATTTACCAGCTGTTGATTAAATATGCCAGCGCTGTTCTATTGTAACTTATCCCGCTACAGCGTGCATGTTTCAGGAAGCCAAGGAGGAGCGATACCAGACAGGGACAGAGTTCCATAGTTTCCGCAACATGTAAAGGTGCACATGTTACAGCAGTTGCAGTTTCTCAAACAACTATCAGGTGAATTTGTCAGCACCAGCTTCTGCGTTGAAAGAGTCAATTTCCTCCCCTCACAACTAGATCGCTTCTGTGAAGGTGTAAAGGGCGAAGGCGACTGAACTCTCTGAACTCAATCTCCCGAGGAAAGTGGGAGCTGTGAAAATATTTTTCTCAAAACTCCATCAGCAGTGAAGATCTACTTGTTCCTACAAAGGAGCAAAGCTACAAACACAGGGGATTGACACACAAACTGTAAGGGCTATGGCAGGGGAGAGGCACACACGAGAGAGATACTGGGCCAACAAGGACGCTCAAAGAGAATCAGTTAATGCAAGTATGAATGAGACAATACATATCTTGCGCTAGATTCGCAGAGCGTGAAAAGAGGCCTTCAACTCCAAACGGCTGACGGCTGCCAGAGCACGTGAGCCGGGGCTGTATTGCCTGTCTGAGTAGTAACAGTATTGAGAGCTAAGTGCGTCATGTCAGCTTGCGAATTAAGAGAGACATTAGTAAAAAGAGAAGGGGTGGGAGCGCCGGGGAGCATAAAGTGATGCACTAGAGCGGCTAGCCGCTGCAGCCGTCCCGCCGGGCGTGAGCCCTAGGTTGAGGCGCAGCCGATTGCTCATCCACTCTGCCATCTTTGAGTCCTCCTCTCCAGCATTATTGCATAAATCCCAGCATATATCATGCTATCCGTATTCTTGACGCTAAAAATACGCTTGTTTCCTCTCTCCGTTCTCTGCCAGTCGCAGGTGATTCATTGCGCTGTTGGCGCAGCAAGAGTCTGTCGTTCCTCTCGATGCGAATAACCAGCCTAAGCTCTCGATAGCCCATGGAGATGCCCTCGCCCTCCTTCTGTTGCTTCTTATATAGTATAAGCCATATCCGCTTCTCCTGATTCTCCGTGTCTCTCTTAGGGCTGACGCACCAGCTATCTACACACCCGAAGCTGCGGGGGGCCGCCGACGCCTGAGCTTGCTGCCCTTTTCCCGGTAAGTTAGAATTTCTTCGTCCCCACTGCCGTGTTTTGGCTTCCAGTGTATATACCGAAGGATAAAATCTGAAGAGGGGGGGAGTTGGCTGCGAAGGTTAACCATGAAAGCGGCTGCTTAGTTGAGTGGACCAGGGAAAGTCGAGAAAAAAAGGTGCAGGAGAGGTGGAAGGAGGCCCAGAGGTGCATTCTAGTCAACATATTTAGTCAAAATGGTTTCTTCTACGCTTCCAATAGCATGCTTCCCAACGTTTATCTGTTCCTCTTCGGGCAACGTGAACTGTTCGCCCTTGTGTTGATGTATGCACTCAGCTGCTTGTACTCAGGGGCGCTTGCAGGTTTTACCTTTTACCACTTATTCCCAAGAACTGCAACAATGGGTCAGGGACTTACGACTCAGGAGAAGCACAACATCAAGCGTGAAATCTACACGCTGTATCCTGGCCTAGAGCAGCAGCTCGAAATGGCATTCAGTTGCCACGACATTGAAGGAGCCCTTGCGCTGCCCTACGCCACCCTAGAGCCCGTCATTCGTCATTTGCTCATGCAATATGGACTTATTGAATATGTGACACGCTTTAGCAAAGAATCTGGTTCGTTCACTAAACTCCACTAGAGAGCGGAAAACATCCAACGAATGAGGCATCTTACATTTCTGTTTCTTTACCATTAAGCGGCACTACACACGACATGTAAACAATTGAGATTGTATTAAAGTGCAGGCGCTCTGATCTTAGTGTTGCAGAAGGACTCACCACATAATTTTGTTTCTTTTCTTTACAGGCGCCCTTGACCCTTCCCACATACGCCATGAACTGGCGGAGTTTGGAGTGGCTACGACACGTCTGTTTGGAGACGCAGCACTCAGCGTAGATGACTTTAAAAGCCTTGCAGTTGTTTGGCTGAAAAAGATCCTGGACACTCACGCCGGTGAGTCATGATCAGTCGGGGACTTGGCAGAGTCGGCATGTCCACGTCCAGTGCTGCTTGATTTCTACTTCTGAGTTGCCCATGTGACTTTTCGCATTTTGTGATATTGTTCGTGAACATTCATGCAACTGAGGGATCTAAACAAAGGCGAAAATGCCGTTCGTTTTTCGCCTTTCTCGTTTCAAGATCGTTTGCTCTTCGGGTGACCTCGGTTAGTTATCGTGAGAGTTCGGGCATGCGAGAATGCTTGGTTGTTTAATACGTGAAGGTACTTATGTGCATAAATAGCTCGTCATATTCTGGCTCTTTGCCTACAACGGTCCTCCTCGTGTGAAAATTCAATTTCACTTGAAGCTCATCTTCTAGGTACCTGGTCGCTTCACTTTTCGTTTAATACACTTCGGTATTTTTGCTGGTGTATTGTTTGCAATATATATGTAGATGATCAGGCAGAGTGGATGGAGAAGCTGCGCGCCGACCAAGAAGAACAGAGTGCCAACTATGCAAGGGCCATGAAGGAGTTTCAGGAACAGTATGTCAAGCAGCAAGCAATCTATCAACAGGGCCTTGAAGAGCAACAAAGACAAATACAAGATTGGAACAGGGTTCGTTCAGGCAGACGACAAATATGTACTAAGAGACTAATCAACTACATGTCCATTTCGTCCTTTGTACTTCGCTATATATACACATATATATATAGTGACTGTAGTGTATCATAAATTCTCTCTCATACATATAACGCAGGAGTTACCTAGTCAGAGAAAAGCCAGAGTAGCCGTAAGGTACTGCAACAGATCGATTTGCGCTTTAACGTTATAGCTGCTCTGCCCTATCTTCGCTGCTGCAGCTACTTGAGGATGCACAAAAGACCCAACAGCAGATATATGATGAAGAAGTACGAAGGATGAAAGAGATACAAGACCGCGAAGCTAGAGCATCTGAGATAGCACAGCAAGAAGAGCTGGAGCTTATTCGGAAGTATCAACATAAACTTGAAGAAATTGCCAAATCCGAGGGAGGCAAATGTTTCGTCTACCCAGCAAGCAAAACTCCTTACGGCGCTTGCGCGTCCGCTGGTGCTCAAGAGCCATGCAGGCGAAAGCGAAATCATGCGCGCAAAGAAAACAGGCTTGCTAAGGGCTGCTGTTAGCTCCCCTGAATGTTGGAGCTAGCTAAGGCTCGCGCTCAGGCTAAAGTGAATCAATCCAACTCTACAAGCACGTCACTGTAAAGCGGAGGGACTGCAGCACGAGGAATGTACAGGCTGGTCAGTTAGAGTGGCGGATTTTTTCAGCACATCTGAAGCCCTCTGATCCATATGTGTTACCTTAACAAGTGGTATATTCTTATTGCCTTCCTCCTCTTCAGAAAGAGGTAAACGTAGCCGGAAATCCAGCGACCGAGGAAAGCAAGGAAAACATGAGTATGTCAATCCTGCTTTTCGCTTGAAGAACAAAGGCCCAATACCGTGCGAAGGTGCTTTGTTGTTGAGATCCCTGAAGCAAAGGATATATAGCAGGTCCTAGGTTACATCATGACCTGTTCCTCGCCCGTCGGACCCCGGGTCCCCTTTGTTTCTGGTGGGCTAGAGGGTACTCCAACGGTTTAAGAACTACCAAAGAGTTTTAGACAGATACAGTTGCCTCAATGTGTGCTGCCTCATAGGGGTTGCTGCTCTTCTAGAGCTCTTATTTCAGATGATGCTGTTTGTCAGTGGTGGAAGGGGGCAGGACGTTGGAGCGAATGGAGCAATGCCTTTCTAGTTCCAGGCAAAAAATGAAGGGGGAGGTCCAAGTGTTTTTTTGTGCATTATAGTTTTTAAATACATCTGCAACTAATGCAAGGAGTGACCACAGCTGGGACCACACTGTAAAGGGTAAGGTCCCCAGTTTTTAGAACTATTTAACCACTCATCCCGGCGCAGCTGCAAGAAATTGGGTTGAATTTGAGCTTTAAAAGGGAATGTGTAGCTCATGATCCTTGGGAATATAAAATTCGGCGGAGACCAGATCCTCGCAGCGGTGGTGACCCGGAGGAAGATGTGTCTGACCAGCATTTATTGAGTGTCGTTTCTTCCAATTCATATGCTAGGAACAGAAATTATCAGTAGTTCGAAGGAAAAATTACAGCATTGTTTGATTGAAGGAGGTAAAAAACCAACGAACATACCCTTCAGTGGTGCAAATGGGGCCTTCGAACGTGCCTACCAGACTCAAGCTGTCTCTTAGAGTGAAGAACATCTGCATCAGTGGGCCCTCCTTCTTAAAAGGGTATCCCTGATTTTAAAAATGAGCCTGTGGCAACCAAGGCCTGGCAAAGGTTAATGCATAAACCGCTTGGTAGCATAATTTTACGCCAGAAGTGAATCTCGACAAGGCCTAACACCTATTTGAATTTCCAAGGGGGTTCCCACAATTGCCTGTAGGGAACAAGGCAATAATGGTCTAAGACTCATGCTTAGAGCATTGTTAACGAGCCTGATTTTAATGTTCGTGATTGATGATAGCCTATATAGGCAAGCCACTGTGTTATCCACCATTGAAGTCTGAAAGGGACAAAACCAAACAGGAGAGCAAACATACGCTATTAATGGTTATTCTTGGTGTCTCTGCTCTGTAGACCACTCGACTGGCATGGAGAAGAAATTCCTTCGCAGTTACTGCATTGTATATATAATTTGCTCATTCGGTTTTCCTGTTTGGTAGTGCCAATTACAGCGACCTGTACTGAATCACACAAGCAGATTAGGCATACCATATGGGTCTTCATCCAGACTGCAGAAATGGTGTCGGTTATGAGGTCACGGAGGATGATGATGAGTTGCCCACAGGGCAGGCGATTTGTTCTGAACTGCCAAGGAGATGCCCGCCTACTGGTTCCGCAAGCACAAGCAGCCATAAAAGCAGTCAAAGTCACGATCGCACGAATAGCCCCTGTCAGGACGGTGCTTGCAAAGGTCATTCGTGCATCAGTGAACCACCTTGCGACCGACCATCTGATCGAGAGATACTTCCAAGCGTAGTTGCAAAGGCACTGAGGCAAACAGCTCCATACGGCTTGGTGCGAAGCTCCAAGTGGTCCTTGCCTGCCCCAATCGAACGTTCCTCATGCGGAAACTGCAAGAGAAAGCAGGTTTTAGCCCCAGTTCTGCATTCCCTTTTGCATGACTCGGGAAAAGAGATCAACGGTTCCCGCTCATGGAGGACACAGAGAGCAACCGAGAGAACTATGTCCAGACTACAGCACATACCGCATACTGAAGCCTCTATGCCTAAGCACTTTAAGTTTCTCTACGATATTTGTGTGAACAAGGACACAGGGACACCTACTGACTATTCGAGAGGGCTAAAGACCGCTCGGGAGGCTGAGCAACTAATGGTTCCGCAAATAGAGAATGAGAGAGAAGCAGCCCAAAATCAGGACCTCGATGAAACTGGCCATGCCAATCTAAACATAGTGAAAACAGGGCTAGATGCTGTGAAATTCTTCGCCCGGCATGGAAATACCACAAAAACAAAGTTTTTGTTTTGTAACAGGGCTCCAACAGCTCCGCTTGTGTTCGAACCGTACAGGCTTGTCGTGGTGCCGCCTAACCAAGTAAATCCGGAACATTTTACACTGTCAGCAACGGCTGTGATGCACATTTGTCCAGGGAAGCCGACCGAGTGTTTTAGACAGGACGAGTGGATGCGGCAGGCATTTGTGTACTCGCTTCTCCGAACTTTGTCGTTCTTCAAAACGTTTGTAACTCGTAAAGTAGTAAGCCTGTGGGTTCACGCATCAAGAAAACATGCTTTTGAGGAACGCAGAGAAATGCTCTGCAAAACGTTATTCATAGCCAAGCCCACTTACTGCGACTACCTCTCGAAAATCCACAAGGTGCTCGCCGGAGTTGGTGCACTAAAACTAATCGAACTGCAGCCCGCGATATATAGCATCTCCCAGTTTACAGAGCAACAACGTGTTCTTCATTTGGATCAGAAAGTCGGCGCAAGTAAAAAGCTTGAGGTTAGTTCTACAAAGTGAGATTCAGCAAATATGCGCCCCGAGAATCCACAGGCCCACGTCAATTACCAAGGATTGCTCTTTCCAACGATAATCATTGGACCACATCCACTTCTGCAGGTGCTTTTTGTGCCTGAGTCAAGCTTATTCTTCCATTAAGTAATGCATGTGTTCAGGCTAAACACAAAGAGGCTAGGGCTCACCTCCTGTCGCTGGAGCAAAAGCTTGAAGAGGCAACGCAGCTGCCAGAGGCTGAACCAATGCATGCACACCCCTTTAGTAAGGGAAGGTCTATATTTCAGGCAAAGCGAGATGCTGCAGAACAGAAGCGACTCTTAAAGGTGGCCTACAGGGACCAGGCACTCCTTGGCCAATTCATTCTTCTTGCCGACCTCATTTTTACAATGGCATTGGCAAAGGTATGATTACAAAGATAGCAAGCCGGCTAGATGTCTGTGCCTTTCCAGAACAGTATAAAAAACCAATCTGATATGTGCCTCGTAGGAGATACCTATCACCACATTCACATTCAAAGCAAATATGCTTCTCTGGACGTGCATGAATTCAGCCTCCTTCTTGCACCCACTCAGGCGACCATCAAAGCTGCAGCTGCGATGGTAGAACGTATTGGTACTGAAGAGGCTTGTGCCAAATTGTTTAGTGTCAATGTATCCTTTGGAAACACGAAAGTAAACCTGGAGCCAGGACGCGCCGATTTTATTTCCATGCTACACGAATTGTGGGACGGTAAGAACTCACTTGAGGGAAGCACAATACCAATTGATGCAGAAGTTTGTAAAACGCCGAAGTCACAGAAGTCTAGACACAGAAAAACGACTGAGGATCGCGGAAGGGGCATTAAATGGATGGGTGCGTATATAGCCGCACAGATATTCCGCCTCTGTCAAAGCAAGACGAAGCGCAGATCCGGCTGTCAATTCAGGAATTGTTACCACTGTCAGCAGCGTCTCGCTGCTTGCCCAGTGTCGTCAGTTTGAAGACTGTGCTTTGAAGGGCCCCCAAATGACCGTAGAATCATTACTGCTTCACTCCAAGCATCTGCAGCTCATGAAGGTACTAACGATCATCTCCACTGCATATATATTATTTGTTCTGCACCAGATATTCGGGAGATGCCAATGGCACGCAGGGGAGCTTGCTCCCTCAGGAGTGGCCTTTCTTGTGTTAGTAAAGCACCGCCGGATGTAGAATGCTGCTGCATCTGTACGCAAACTGCTTGAATAAGCATTCTGATTGTCCTGTACACAGAAACGAATAGAGGAGAGACTTCTAAAAGACTTTGACCGAGCGCAAAAGTACTCAGAATCGTATTTCGGGATATACAGGTAACACCATCTTTACAGCTACACGCTTACTCTCACTACCTATGTGTCCTTGAAGCCAGGGCGCAAAGTATGAAGAACATATTGCAAGTGCTATTCGAAACCTTTTCCAATTTTCTGGTATGCACCGCAGACAAATCTATGATTATGGTCAGAACTGGGACGAGACTGCATTTGCCAACGCGACAACAAGCCATGATGACCTTTCAACTGAAATGGAGATGGTGTCAGAATTTGAGGATAAACTTGACAAACTCAACCCAGTTCATGTGGTTGGCCTGTTTTCAATTGAAGCACGAAACTTGAAGTGTGCACTACAACCTATTACAGAAAAGGCTCTTTCATTTATGAAACGGCTCCTATGGAAGCTCATGAAAGACCATGTGGGAATTCCACACACCACGGTTTATATATCTCCACTGGTATCGCCTTTTTCTTTTCTAATACGTGGACTAACATACTTAGATTCATGCCTCGCTCATAGTTGTGCTGTATGGAAACAATTGTTGCATGCACAATGCACAAAGGAATTTATGCTTACGACTCTTGGAAGTGATGTTATTCGTACAGGTGCGGAATACGGCGAGTCGTTTCGAAGACATCAATAAACGCCTAGACGAGCGTCCAATGAATTTGGCCCGCTTCGCCTCCTTCCTTTGTACTTGCAAGGAAATCAAGTCCCAAATTGACGAACTCGACCGAGACAAGGTTCGGTGCCTCTTGTGCAAGATTCACTCGCGCGTTTCGATGTGATGGTTAGCCGTGTTGCCACACCTACGCGTGCCAAATAAGCTACAGATATTTTTCTTATCCAATCTATGAAGGAATCATACACGATTGTGCAGGCAGCTGCTGAAGATATGTTTGCTCTTTTGAAACAATACGGCGTCCGCCTGGCTGTTGAAGACACAATTCACCTTGAAAATATGCTAAAGAGTGCAAGCGAATTCGAGAAGTCTAAATTGTTGGATGCAGCAGAGCATATAAGGTAGCGTCCGGCGTCACGCTGGAATTGTCGCAGCAAACCCCAATATCCAGCTTCTATCAGGCTGCGTAGATGGACTTAGTAGATACAGATGCATTTTGGGTGCAGGGTGCGTGGAAGGGAAAGTTCATTCTATGGAACACAGGGACTATGGCAATTTCGGTTACAGATGCAACCTTGAAGTGATGAAGGCAGACTTGAAGGCAAGGACAGAAGAGGTAGAAAATGAGATGGAGGAGCTCAATAAGCTTATCAGTGACGGTGAGCTATGCGACGCAACAAGCTCAGTACCGCGCGTCCGTTTTTTCCTCAGGAGTGTTTAAACCTGATGGCCAGCGATCTGATGTAAGTCACATTGACTACTGCCGCACTTAATCATTTGGTCTTGCTGTGATTCAGAGGAGTTCGGCACGCTAGGCGCTTGGAAAAATGCAGCCAGATGCTTTGAGCAGCTGAAGGAATACCAACAGCGCATCAGTCTCGTCTACGAAAAGGCTGAGTCTCTGAGAGTCATGAGGGAGCTCTTTAGTCCGGACATCCCTGCAGTCATATCCAAGCAAATACAGGAGGCAGTTAGCAGCATTGAGCCCAAAGTTACGATGTGGCAGCACATTTGTTCGTGGCAATGTGACACTGGACAGGTAATACATCTTCCGAATCCTGTTTGTGGAGGAGGATTCGTCATAACAAAATGCGTTAACGATCAACTATAATACGCCAACGGAAAAATAAATAATTCATATGTGTGTGTTTACTGTTTGAAGTGGCTTGGCCTTCCTTTGGCTGCACTGAACGCTGAAGCAGTAGACGGTGCCGTAAAGCGGTACCTGAAGGAAGCTTGTGCAGCCGTGCAAAGCTTTCCTAGTGACTTAGTGGCCACCGAATTTAAGAAAGAAGTTGAAGGCTGGCTCAAACGCCTGCCTCTGATTGTGGACCTGAGTAACCCTGCAATGAAGCGCCTTCACTGGGAAACAGTTTTTCAAGAGCTTAAGTGAGCTAGAGCCCAAAAAACTGTGAATCGAATACCCGGCATCTATCAGACATTCTCAGCATTCTCGTGGCTTTCATGAACAGTCTTTGAAAACTGTTACTGCGCTATTGTCTTCCCAACAGAATGAATGGCACTGAAGACTCTGTGTGTTTGGGACAACTGTACCAAGAAGATATCCTTAGCAAACGCGACTTCATCAATGAGATTTCTACGCTTGCCTCTATGCAGCAGTCTTTGCAGCAGACGATTGATAAGATAGTACAGATATGGGGAACAAGGGAGCTTTTGGTGAAGCCATTGGAAGAAGACCCAAATGCGCTCATATTTGGTGGGACTCTCTGTATTCGTTTGACATCGCGGGAGCGAGTACCACTGAAGCCATGTTAACGTAGCAAAAATTTCAAGCAGATCGCTTGAGCTCTTGCCTTGACAATATGCTCCTCTGCTACCGTTTATCTATAAGTTCTACTGCACTTGGGATGCATGTGCCTTTGTATTATAGTGTGCTGATCATAAAAACACCGCAGAGGATGTGGCCGAGTTACTGTCCACGATAGAAGATCACCAAATATCTATGCAGCGCATGCTGCACAACCCATATATAGGGGTCCTTAAACAAAAGGTGGAATCATGGGCTGGAAAACTTGATTCGGCGCAACAAATCCTGGGTAAGTGAGCAGTATCTTGTGTCAAAATCCCAATGCTACTCTGGTATTCCTCCTGTAGCTAACATTTCTTCAGTGCTTTCGCCGAGCGCACCACCCATTGTGGCTGCGAGGAAATACTCTCAGTGAATTATATATAAGGGCTATGATACGGCTTGGGATATGGTTGTATTTCATGCAGAGGAGCTAATACAACTTCAGGGCCAATGGATTAAGCTGCAGGGCGTTTTCAGCAATATGGAGATACTTGAACAACTCCCTGAGGAATCAGAGCTCTTTGAACATGTCGATAGCTTCTGGCGGGCATACCTCAGAAAAATTCGCAGTAAAGCAGCTAGTCTCATTACGGTAGTTGAGGAAGAGGGCCTGTTGGAGATCCTTGGGGATAAAAATAAAATATTGGCTGACTTGCAGCGCAAAGTCGAGGTGATTTAAACACTGCAACAGTCACGAGAATATGAGTAGCTGGCGATTACGAGCATACCCTATTCAAAGTAGATTCCAGGGGTGTTTTCGTGTCACCTTGATCGTGAAATCTTTATGTACGACCTGAGTCATCACACCTGAGAAGCTGCGGAGATGCTCAATTCATTCTCCGTTGTAGGACTGCCTTGACAGCAAACGAATGGCGTTTCCGAGGTTTTACTTCCTCTCGAATGAGGAGTTGCTGAACATTGTATCTAAAGCCAAGCAGCCAGCTGCTTTGCAAGAGAGCTTCCAAAAATGCTTTGACGGCTTACAAGCCGTAGCGCTAGGGGCTAACGGAACTGTGATTAAGGCTGTATATTCTCAAGAAAGGGAGAAGATTGATTTACTCTCCCCTGTAAACGTGTTGGCTCCCGTGGAACAGTGGTTTGCCAGCCTGGAAGAAGCCATCGTGAACTCTCTGCGGCGCCATTCGAAGGCTGCACTGGAAAACCAGGCTAGTTGGGAAATCGATTTACAAGATAGAATGGGCATGTACCCCTCTCAGTGCATAGTAAGAAACGAAATGATCAGCTGGTGCTCGAAGATAGAGGAAGCTCTAGAAGCTGTATGCCATCAACGCCGCTTCACTGCACTTGAGGACTGCCTCAAGGCGTGTACCAAGGAAATTCAGAGGTAAGTTCACTCATGACCAAAGGCCTACGCTGGATCTTAAGGGGCACAGAGTCGGGAGTATACTAGATTCAAGATGCATTAATGATAGTCCGTACAATTCAGACAGCTCAATGCAAGCTCTACGATTTCATGGACATGGGAACTAGCACGCATGCGAACTCTTCATACAAAGGATTTTTTTCTCGGACGTGATAAGAGCTAATCACGAAACCTTGTGTTCGCTTGCATGGACTCAGGCTTGCGCAGCTCAACGTATACGTACAGGCTTCGTTATTGCGGCGGGTGGCCCAGTCCCTCTTAATTTTTATGATCCATGCCCGTGACATCCTCCATGAGTTGCAGCAATCAAAAATCCCATCTCCCATATGTTTTGAATGGAAAAAGCATCTGCGCTACTATTGGAATTGTGAGGAAGGAGAGTGTGACATTGAACAGCTCCAAGCGAAGTAAGTATAGGGCCTTTGACGTTATGAGCCACTACAATGTAGGACGAGCACACCAGCGACAAAGATTATAATACACGTATACTTGTTAGCATGCGATCTCACACTCTCACTGTTACATGCGGGTATCTGGTTGTTGCCTGACTCGGCTCAGATTTCGGTTTAGGCACCAGCATCTTGGTTGTACAAGCAGAGTTGTAGTCACGCCTCTGACTGACAAGTGCTTTATGGCACTTACCTCTGCTTTCCATCTTGGATATGGCGGCGCATTATTTGGACCATCTGGAACAGGTGCAGCGGAAAAGGTCGCACGCCCGGCATTTGTTGCACAATGTTGAACGGCAGCCTTTCCTTCTTGACATGTCCACCTTTGTCGAGCTCAGAAGGTGAGTTCTGGGCGTGGGTCGAAAAATGCACGCTGACCTTATCTTGTTCTTCTCAGGGAAAACAGAATCTGTCAAGGAGTTGGCCATGGCCCTTGGAGTGTCCTGCCAAGTATTCGATTGTTCAAAGGAATTGGACATTTGTACAGTATCGCGACACTTGAAGGGTTTGGCTCAAACTGGCATTTGGGCATGCTTCAATGAGTTTAATAGGATTGGCACTCATGTTTCATCAATTGTTGCCCAGCTGCTTCTAAGAATGCAAACAGCCATAAGGGCTCAGAAAGACCTTTTTGAATTCGATGGGAAAAGCACCGCTATTGATCCGAGGTAAGCGAACTTGCAGTGGTTATTCACTGGGTGCCATGCTCCCGCAATATCGTCTCTCTGTACATGCTGACAGCGAGTGATCCAACTCTCTCATCAGATTTGGACGTGCTCTGCAGATTAGCAATTTGCATGACAAACAATCCAAGCTCTGCGGGGCGAACGGAGCTACCAGGAATCCTCCAGTCGGTCTTCCGGCCAATGTCAATGATTACGCCCGACTACACTATGATTGCCGAGGTCACCCTCTTCGTAAACGGTTTCTTATCAGCACCTTCTTTGGCTGCAAAGGTGGTGCACATGTTCTCTGTAGCAAATGTATTACTTAGCCAACAAAAGCACTACGACTGGGGACTCAGGTCCCTGAAAGCAGTTCTCTTGAATGCTGGTGAGTTTTGTCCAGCCATGCAGAGTACTCTGCTTTTGCAGTGACGCTGCTGCGTATTATTCTTTGTCTTGTGCTCCTACATCTCCATGATATTCTATGGCTACACTGTCGCACAGGAAAAATTAAAACGAAACAACTTGAGATCGACGAGACGAAAGCAATGGTGGAAGCACTCCAGTCTGTTCTGCCGAGTCTCGTAGTCGATGACATACCTATTTATTTGGGCCTTATTTCCGACATTTTTTCTCAGCAGCCACTTTCAAAATCAAACGACATTGAGGTAGAAGTAGAATTTGAAGCAATCCTCAGAGAGCAGCACCTCCAAGCTTTGCATAGTTTTGTGGAGAAGGGAATGCAGCTCTACGAAGCTCAGCTACTTCGGCACAGCTTGCTGGTGGTATGTTTGACAAATAAGCGTAATATACTTAGCTTGAGGCATCATATTTTGCAGCTCTAGAATGTGACGATAGAAATCGATTCTGGCAGTTTAGAAGGCATTGCGCTTTTTCTCAGGTGGGAGCTCCTGGAGTGGGCAAAACTACCCTTCTTGTTGCGTTGTCGAAAGCGATATCTCGAGTTCATATGAAGGCAGGAACTACGACACATTCGAGTAGGACACAGCATGAGCATGTAGCACCTGACAGATTTTGTAAGGTGCTGCGGGTGTATTCTAAAGCACTGGAGGAAAGTCTGCTCTTTGGCAAAATGGACCCTAACACTACCGAGTGGATCGATGGAATTATCCCAGCTGTGAGCGTTGCACACCGAAAAACATATGTTGGTAGGCTTCATGCATCCTTACTTACTGGGGCAAAAGCATCAAACTTAGGCACATTCAAGATACGGCAAACGGGCTGTGAAAGGTTTGAAGGGACTGTCAAATTCTGAAGCCTGCCACTTGCCCGCAGCGTGTTAGAGAGGCGGCTGCTGCGCAAAGCGACATCCACAGTTGGCTTGTTTTCGATGGGCCTTTGGATGCAATCTGGGCCGAAAACCTGCACTCTGCTCTAGATGACAACAAAACCTTATACCTTTGCAGTGGAGAGCGTATTGCGTTGCCAGAAAACTTCAAGATTTTCTTTGAAGTTGCAGTAGGTATACAGCACTCCACTTCACATGCACTCTAGATGGGTCTAGAGGACGGCCGTTTTTACATTCCTTGCCGTCCGGTTACTATTAGCTTTATATGGCCTGCCTGGCCGCCACAAGCATCCTACTATGGATGAAATTTCGTTTTTTACTTGCTAGTGCAACTGTGGCGTAGGACCTGCGGGATGCATCACCCGCGACAGTCAGCAGGTGTGGAACTATATTCATTGAGGACCTCGTAGGCTGGATAGCAGTATTCCAGTCCTGGGCACAATCTTTTAGCACCAAAAAAAGCAAATTCGCGGTTACTGCCAGCAAGATTGAGTCGTGGTGCATCAATATCTTTCAAAAGGCTATACAATATCTTCGCCAAAGCAGCCCAGTAGGCTTGATTTTACTGCATCAACTGTAATTCTGAGTAGATTGTTGCTTGGAGAGGCCCAGGGCTGAGTTCGTAGGCGAGCTTTCTCTATTCTGAGCTTTTGTGTGATTCGAAGCAGAGCGTGATACGTTGACAGGCTATGTAGAGCGATCCTAGCGGCTCAGCTCCAATGTATGAGCACAGGCCACTACTGAATGTTGTTGTTGTGCAGTGGGCGACGCCGTACAGCTTTAGCTGCCTCGCATCCTATGTCTGTCGCCTCCTCACAGCTCTCTTGAGCGGCAAGGTACCTCAAAGTATAACTTCGGACCTCCTCGAGAACTTGGCTCAGATGTATTTTGTTTTCGCAATGGCGTGGGGTTTGGGCGGGCATCTGGCCGATGTACAGCGAGCCGATCTTTCGAACGCCTTACAACCAGAATTTTCCAAAATATGCAAGCTACTAGAGGGCCTTCCGAATAATATTTCTATTTACAACATTTTACCTGACACGACTAACTTAAAGTTCGAGACGTTTGACTCCATGGTTCCACAGTATTCATTTGAAAGTGGAGTGAAATTCAGCGATATATTTGTGCCCACTGCCCGAACAGTGGCTCATTCGTTTTTCCAGCAGAAACTCGTGGAGGTGAGCCAGCAACAATCTGCATCTCGCTGTTGCTTCGTTTAACACATGTACAAGTAGGTGTGTGCATGTCCCGGCAGCTCTAAAAATCGTCGCGTGCTCATGGATTCAGGGTGGATATAGCTGTTTTATTGCTGGGAAGTCGGGCACTGGAAAAAGCATACATCTACAGCAGTGCATTAAGACACCCACCCCTTCAATAGCTTGTTGCAAGATGGCCTTGGCATACCGAACTACCACACAAGACATCGAGGATTTCATCGTTTCTCATTTTGTAAAACACCACCGGAGATCCCTTGGGCCACCTCACGGTTTTCGAATGCTGCTCTTCATTGACGACCTTGCAGCCCCTGCCCCAGATAACTTCGGGACCAAGAGGGCTCATCAACTAATTAGGCAGATTGTTGAGTCTGGGGGATTTTATGAACGTACACATCACCACTTTATTCGCATTGAAGACACCAGCACTATTCTTATCAGCAATGCAAATGTATCCGGATTATCCATAGACATGCGGTAAGCCTTTCGAAAGCAACCTTGGTTAGTGGAAAGGATAGGGGAGCCTTCGTGAGCAGTAGGTTGCTTTATTGTCGGATTACTTTTAATCTTTGCAGTGCATCTGATACGATTGCGTGGATATCAGGCTTCTACGTCACTTCAACATATTATATTACGACGAATATGCTCCGGCAGACATCAAGCACGTATTCGCACGAATTTTAAAAGGAACCTGGGAGCGGACGCTGCCAATGTTTTCTCATTGCGCGGATATTCTGATTGATGCTACAGTTGTTGCATATCAACGCATCAAGGCTCATCTATTGCCTACGCCACTTAAGTGTCACTACAGTTTTACAATGCGAGAAATTTCGAGAGCGGTGGAGGGCATGCTCATGGCGGACACCAGTAAACTCACCAACAAAATTGATATTACTCGGTACGATTTATACAAGAGCTTTTAACACATTGCTCATTGATGAAAAGCTACTTCATACTAATTGGTGTGATTCTGCTTTCTTTGATGCCCCGAGCAGCCTCTGGTTGCATGAGATGCAAAGGCAATTTAGCGATCGACTTGTTTCAATAGAGGATCGCAAGTGGACAGAGAACGTATTGTTGAAGCAAATTTCAGCCGCAATGGAGTTGAGCAATGAACTAGAAGATTGTGTTTGTTCTCAAATAATCTTTGGCGACTTTGCCCATTCGAAATCTAGGACCTATTCAGAGATTTTGTTGTCGGAAGAACAAATGAACGATCTGCTCTCTAGGCACGACTGAGCACCTGCTGGTTCCCTAATTTTAGGCCACAGTGCAGCGCACTGCAGTTGACTGCATAGAGGTTACAAAAAGCCACTGGTGTATTTTGATTCGATGCAGGCCACATGCAGCTAATCAAAAACCAACTGAATTACAGTGTGCTGTAACAGGTACCTTGAGCAGTATAACGCAACAAGCACCTCACCGATGTGCCTTGTATTCTTCGAGCATGCCAACAAACACATCGCTCGACTCTGCAGAACGCTACGAGCCCCTAGAGGGCATGCGCTCCTCCTTGGAGCACGCGGATCAGGTGGGGCATTACCGCCAAATGACTATAATGGTGCTCGCATAGCTTCAATATATTTTGGTGGTGTAGTTAAGATGCCAGTTTGTGTCAATGACACAGAAGCGCTAGAAAGAACAATAAGTTATATTTGCCCCCACCACACTGCACCGGTAGTAGCCCAGCACTTGCTCCACGACACTTCCTTCATTTGTCTGCAGGCCGAGAAAGTTTGTCTCGCCTAGCCACTGCAATAATGGATTACACGGACGTTACCATGTCTACTATATCGCACTATGGCCCGAAAGATCTTCAGGAATACCTTCGGGACATCATTATTCAGATCTGTACAGGAAAAAGAGATTTTGTATTTCGCATCTCAGAAAGTAGCGTAAAATATGACGAATGGTTCCAAGACATAACGAGCATTATTGCCACAGGTTCAACACCACATACAGTAGCTTACCAGCCGCCGTTCCAAAAAGCTAGTGCTCGTGTGCTCTTATGAGTTAAGTTTGCTGAGACTGATCAAGCAATGAGCATGTGTCGTGTTCAGGAGAGATCCATGGGCTGTTTAACCAGCCAGAAAAGGAAAAGCTTTCCCTTCAAGTGGGAGTCATGGAAAATCCAGAGGCTGTTGGTGCTTCTGAGAGTTGGCATAGTGTTGTGGCCCTTGTTCAAAGTAGACTTCACTTTTTAGTAAATATGTCGGCGTCCGGTGAAACATTTAGGTACGATCTTTTCGCCTTACCTACAGAAGTCAACCTAATGAATAATGTGTGCACATTTGCTACTTTTTGATGAAGCCATATCAGGGAACTAAACAGAAGGAACTTAGCAAGCTCATAAATACTAGCAGATTATTGCAACGGACAGTCTTAAAGTGAGACACAGTAAAGGCATTGGTCCCCAATGCCTCATACTATGGGAATGGCTGACTGTGTCAGGAATCGCTATTGGTTTTTTGTTGGTTTGCAGAGCCATTTGCCGTAGCATGGCTCATTTGGTAAACGCCTGTGTCATCGACTATTACGATTCCTGGCCAAGATCTGCTCTTCATTCAATTGCCATGAAGCTTCTGGAAAAGGCCTCGCCAATTAGCAGGGACGTAGCACCTATGCTCTCTAGGTAAGAGACACAAACTTATCATCACCAAAGGTTTTGCCCCAGGCGGTGCATACACTTTTCCGTCGCAGAGACACTTGGTCAATGCTCACTTCGGACCAAAGAGGGCGCTCTGAATAGAACAACCAGCTTGTTGATATGGCGGTCGTTTGATATTTATGCTACCTGAAGCGCGTCCGTGGAGATATATTCCGCCATTGAAGGAGTAGCCGAGCGATATACGGCCGTAACGGGAGAGTCTCTTCACATGACACGTACCTCCTTTGTGGAGTTAGTCAAGCATTACCTGTTTCTGCTTGCGGAAAAGAAACAGGAGTTAGGTGAGTGTACCGCATATTTGCACATCCGCTTGGCGCACATATGCTTGACTGAGGTTGGTCTGGCCTACAGGATGTTCACCTTTGGGCATTGGAACGTTTCTTGAATGTACGCAGATGAGCGCCTACAAAAGTATGCCTCAGGAATCAGCAAGCTGGAAGAGACTTCTGCTGCAGTGAAGTCTATGAAGGCACAGCTGCTAGCCGATCAGCCGATCCTTGAAAAGGCAAAGGAAGAAGCAGAACTTGTGGAATGGTCCCTCGCAGCAGATGATAAGGTGCGAAAGAATCACGATGACAGCTATTGCTGCCTTCCGGGTATTTTGAAGGCAACGGATGGACCTGCTGCGGATATGTATCCTCTGCAGAGTGAAGTATTAATGGGGCAACGTTACTCCTTCGAGAAATCCGCTGCAGAATCAGCAGACATTAATGCTCAATGGACCCGAGATGAATGCCAACAAGATGTACGCGTGGTACTGCCCTTATTGCACCAAGCGTTTAAGGCCCTGGAAGCTCTCGACGAGCAGGATATACAGGAACTGAAGTCTCTCACGTCTCCGATTGCACTTGTAGAAGCAGTGATGAATGCTGTCTGCGTTCTCTTGGGGCGGAAAGTGTCTTGGGAAGATGGCAAACAGCTTCTTGACGATGCATCGTTGATAACGACTCTCAGACACTACGATAAGGATCATGTGCCACCTAAGTTAATGCAGCAGCTAAGCATGTATACGTCCCTTCAAGACTTTGCACCAGAAAAGGTCGTAATGCATTCCAAAGCTGCAGCTTCTCTTTGCATGTGGGTGCGGGCCGTCGAAAGTTACGTCAGAGTGAGTATTGACACGTGGAAGAGGGTTTAGCTCACAGCTGATACAATAATTGAGTGGGATCCGCTTATACTGCATTTATCTTTAGCTCGAGTGGTATCCTTCAGGCTCTAAATAATATGGATCCGAAACAGCCAGAGCATACTGAGTCGAATCAGGTTTGGAACCAGGCAGACGGCAGCTCGGAAGAAACAAAACCGCCTCTTGAGGAGGTCCAGGCACGGTTAGCAAAGCTTTTAGAAGCAGTTGCAGCTGAATAGTGATCTGGAAGCTGTCACTTACATTCTCGCACTGTGAAAGAATGCATTCACCGATTGCTGTGAATAGTAAATACGCTTCTTTCGTGTTCAGGGTGCAGTCCCCTGTTGAGCAGTATGATGCGCGCCGCAAAAGAGTCGTAGAGATGGAACGTCAAATGCATACAACGGCACAACGACTTGCTCAAGCAGAAAACCTACTATCAAGAATATCCGTAGAAGGATCTAGATGGGCTAGTAATGTCAAAATCCTGGAAGAAGATATATCCTACCTATTGACCGATGTCCTAATAGCAGCTGGTGATCCTCTGATACCTGCTACAGCCTCAAATAATCGATTTCTTGGGATCATCTGTGCCCTGTTTCTCATCACACTGAACGTAGACGAATGATACAAAGATTAATTTGGGTGAAGTCCTGTGTAATGCATACCTTCCACGTTCGCATGGCTTAGGCTCTCAGGGCCATTAATGATGTGACGCGCACAGGAATGCTTAATTACGCGGGGCCCTTTACTCGTGAATTCCGGGAAGAGCTGCTTTGCCAATGGCTTGCTATGTGCCGAGACGAAGGACTACTTGCACGAGCAAACTTTTCGCTTGCTGGGACATTGTCAACACCGTCCGAAATTAGGCAATGGGCTCTCGAAGAACTACCATCTGATGTGACATCTATCGAAAATGCTATTTTAGTTTGCAACTGTGTTAAATGCCCTCTCCTCATTGACCCTGAGGATCAGGGTACCCACTGGCTCAGGCGTAGGCAGTACAAAACGGATTTCAAGGAGATTTATACAAGCAATCCCAATTTTCTGCAGACTCTCTGTGAAGCAGTCACAGCCGGAATGACCGTCCTTATCACAATTTCTGAGGAGGGGATTGACTCCGCAATCAAGACCCTTATCGAGGCAATGGTACGGCAGTAAAGCGCCATAGCAACAGACACGTCTCGTTCTGGATCTTTCAGAATGCTGACTTCCTAGCCTGCCACAATAGCAGATTCGGCAGACATTGATGGATAAAATCAGTGACAGCATTCGCTTGCTGAAAAGGATGGTGTAGTCTATGGTCTGTATTTTCACAGAAGCCACAGAAGGATACTCCAGAAGACCGATCAATCATTCGCCTTACTCACCATAGCGCAAGAAGGAACCCATACTTTAGAATGGTTTTGGTGACGAAGCAAAGCCCTACCGAAGTGATTGATGAGCTACACAGTGACCTCTGTGTTATTAACTTCCGCGTAACTCCAGCTAGTCTTGAAGAACAAATATTAAACCAGATTGTAATGCATGAAGCGCCACATCTGGAAGAACAGCGAAAGCTGCTCGCCATTAGTATTGCCAGAGACTTGGCGACAGGGGCCACATTTCAAGAAAAGATTCTGGCGGTGAGATGGCGATCCTCGGTCTTCATCAAAGCGCTCCTTTAAGGCATGAATAGTGCCCCATGAAGGTGCAGCTTCGGGACTCCCAAGCGGTTTGCCTACTTAAAAACTATGCCTATTATTGGACATGACTACAGTTAAAAGCACCAGCATTAGCTGGATCAGCAAATTCAGTGTTGACAGGGGTTTTCTGCTCAACTGCATTCTCTGGTGTTTGTGCATAGCTTTTGGCCGATGCAAAAGGTGATATCTTGACGGATAATGTATTTTTGGAAAGCCTAAATGAGTGTTATTCGGGGTACGAGGCAATTCAGAGGCGCACTAATGAAGCATTCGCCACAGCGGACAAACTGGAGGAGGCTCGACGATTTTACAAGTCGCTTGCCGAAAGAGGCGCATTACTGTACTGTCTCCTGTGCGACTTGTCTCACCTCAATGCACTCTACCAGTGGTCTTTTGAAATCTTCAAGGTTCAAGTCCAAACTTCCTTGCAGAATTGCCAAGACGCAAGCGAAAACCGTGTGGAGATTCTCAAAGATCTCCTTACCTGGGAAGTCTACTGCAACACGTGCAGAGGACTTATGGATACTCACAGGCTTGCCTTTGCATTTATGATTGCAAAAGCAATAGATGTGCAGGCAGGAAACATTCCAGTTAGCATGCTTGAGTTCTTTATAAAAGAAGTTACGGGGAGAATTGAAGGCGAGTCGACTGGCATTCAGGTGAGACTTCAATTGCCGCGCGATTCCGAAAGTTTGCAAGCCTTGTGCTGCATTTGTTCCCTGCGTGCATTCCTTACTCAGCGTGCAACACTAATCAGTATGTGTTATAATTCACGACCGTTCATGGAAGCGTAGGGAGCTCAAAAAACAAGATGTTGTATGGTGCTCAGCCGCATTGGACAACCCTCGAAACTTGGCGCAATATTATCTTCCTAGACCAAATCATAGGAGGGCCCTTTCAAGGTTTCGCCCGTTTAGTGGCAGCGGACGATGGTGAATGGAGAACAATAATCGAAAATGATGACAAGCTTCCACCACATTTGCCTCGAATTAACGGTGGAGACCTGAGGCCATTTGAGTCCTTGGTCCTCATTAAAGCCATTAGGTATGTCATCCACCTACTTATGGCCTCAGACAGCTCATCTGTAGGATATATATGAAGTAAAATATAACTGCAAAAAAAGTTGCCGCATAGCAACTTGACGGCTCTTACTGGCAACTGCACACTTGCAAACACATGTATCCGTCAGGAAAAGGGAACTGCACGCTGGATGTCGCGAATACGTTCAAAAAATACTGGGTTCTCGATATATCTGTCCCATTAAGCTGGATTTGCCGAAAGCAGTGGAAGAGTCGACCCCGTTGATACCCTTAATCTTCATCGAGCTCCCCGGAAGTGATCTCATAGGATCAATAAGGATTCAAGCTGCCCGCGCTTCACTGTCTCAGAAGCATCTGCATATTCTCTCGCTTGGGCAGGGCCAGGATGCTGCAGCAGAGAATACTTTGCAGGAAGCAAGGTAACGTCTGTTTTCACCGTCATCAAATGACATTCAGAAACCTAGTGATTCCACAATCTCTGTTAGGTAGTGTGCACTAACTCGATAATCAAAAACCATGTTCTCAGGCCAATGGGAAAACATTTCTAGCCTCATACGTACTATCCGGACTTTTTGTGCATGGGCTACCTGTCAGAGTTCATGGATATTGGGTGTTTCTCCAAATCTGCCATTTGGAAGATACACTCGTGCACTCGCTTCAGAGATTCTGTGAAGAGCTCCGGCAGCAGCATGTGCATCCGCGATTTCGGCTTTTCATAGCAACCCAGCCAAACCACCACCTGCCAAGCAGCATATTGAAGCAAAGCATAAAAATACTGGCTGAACCACCTTCGGTAGGTACTCATTGAACCACTGCCAACCCTGCTTAATAGATAGAATAAGCTGGTGCATATGAATACTTCTGATAGTACATCCATCAACATCGTGCTATCAATTAACGATGATTACCTAGCTACCCAAAGCTGGCAGCATCCGATTTAGTTACAGAATAAATTTTTCGATGATTGGGTGATGGCTGTAGGGCCTTCGAGAAAACGTTATGCAAACATTTTATGACCTAGAGAGATGCGGGGCCGACGATGTATCACATTGCCCCAGTTACAAGCGGTGGCTCTTCGCGCTCGCGCTATTCCACTCATTTATACTAGAGCGGCGTCGTTATGGGATACTGGGGTGGAATAAAGCCTACGCTTGGACGTTTTTAGACTTTAAAGTGAGAAGCCCCAAAAAAACAATTGGTGATGTACCTGTTGCAGCATTGCCTGCTTCACTATGCGGCACCACCAAGCTCGCGTGCAAAAGAACAGTGCATTATAATAGCTATGCTGTCACTGCCCTGATATTGCTTCAGATATCCCAACAAGGGCTGTATGAGTCAGCAGCAGCCGGAGAACATGACATGGCGTGGGACAAGACCTTATTCCTGACGGCTGAAATTTATTATGGAGGACGCGTGACAGATTCTGTTGACCAACGGGTGCTCACCTCGTTACTAAAGCGCTGCATTTCCGCAAACGAACTCGGATCGGATGCTGCTGAGACGGTGATGAAGCGATACGTCCTTCCTTCAGACTATTGCTACCAAGATATTACGGAATTTGTTATGAGTCTGCCAATCGATCCAGAGCCTGAGGATTTAGGACTTGATCGTGGAGCTGTCCTGATGTGGGTCAGCACTGAACTGACAATCAGCCTTTATAGCTCCTGCTAACTTTCGAAAGTTCGTGTGCAGGGGATAACTTTTCTTATCGTTTGGGGAATTGTATGTGATGGCGACTCGGTCCCTCAGGTATAAGGAGCTGGAGAGCAACAAACTCTTTGACTGCCTGGTTAACGTGCACAGGGGAATACAAAAGTGCACCGGAAATCGCCGGGAAAGCAATCTTTTGAGCATCATATCAGACATGTTGTACAAGTTACCTGCGGACATATCCACTGACAAGGCTACCGGTACAGTGTTCCAACCACATGCAAACCAGCAAAAAGGTTTTGATGGGCTGAGCCCACTGGACGTATTTCTCAAAGGAGAGGTTCAGGCCTACAACATGCTTCTCGCATGCATTCGAAAGTGTCTTACCCAGCTTCAGGAGGTGTGTTCGCCCACAGCACCCAATAAGCAGTCTGAACAATCAGATGTAAAGGGAGGAGTCACTGGGCTGCGCTCGTTGTGCGTAGTCTTCCCTTGATGTCAGACGCCGACAGCCTTTATTCGACATCGCACCGTAAATGAGATGCCGATGTCCACTGAAAATAACTGCTTGCATGCTTTATGTGGCCAGGCACTTCGAGGCCGGGAAGTCATGACTGAGGAACTGGAAAACCTTAGCAAAATGGTGTACCTCCAGAGAGTGCCAACATCTTGGATCGAAGTGTCGTATCCTACAAAGCTCAGCCTGGGCTGGTGGCTGGAAGACCTTGGTACACGGATCACCAGCATTCAGCAATGGGTGCAGAACGGCCCTCCTGCTGTCTTCAACATCGCAACCTTCCACAAGCCACAGAGGTTTTTTATAGCAACTCTGACCGCTCTCGCCAAAGGTTCACATGTCAGCAGGCGCAGCATTTCGCATATATAATTTAAGCAGGCACATGCCCATCTTCTCTGTTTGGCACATACATGATACAAACACGCAGCCGTATTTCCCTAATGGCTAAATTACCCGAATGGTGTTGCCACATGCCCTGGATCAAGAATGCTAGATGTAGCTTGTATCAAAGGTTTATTGCAGCTGCGGAAGGCCGCTCTGCAGATTCCACACCTTTCAAACGATTGTCTTATGAAAAAACCTCATTGCAAGGTACTCTGCCTTGAATATATTGCTTCGCAGGGACCACTTACTGCTCTCTCTTTATCTGCCAAGATTACTGATATAAAGGATATTACGAAAGTAAAAGCTCCTGCGGATATTGGAACATATATAAATGGTCTTTCCATGCAGGTTAGCACGGCTCATCATGGATAGCAGTACTTTTCTAAGCGCAAAACTATGCTTCAAGAAGCCCCCTTCATGAGTGCTGCGCATTATTCAATTAACCTATGAGTAGTCGCTACCCAGAGTGCAGTAGCTTTATATTCCCCCGTATTTCCCCTACACGGACTGCCATCTACGATGGAACTTGTTTATGGATACGGCAGGGGGCAAATTGGTCAGTTGAAGACCAAGTTCTGTGCGAAGCGAAGCCTCGGGTTATGTTTCACGAATTGCCACCGATCCTCTTGACCGCCCACTTTTTCTTTGAAGAACAAAGAAAATACAGGTTTGCTGGCCCACCCACAAGCATTGGCATTTGCTGCCTCACCCCAGAGGAGCGTTTTTAGTATATCGAAGGGGCAAACGCATGCTACACTACACCGAAAGGTCTCTAATATGGTGCAACTGGAAACATCTGATGCGAGAATACAAATGCAGGTGTCCAGTGTACAGAACAACTGATCGATCTGCCAGCTCTGAAGTCGTCGCGTTCCTCGACTTGCCAACAGGTACGCTGCAAAAGGTTAACTCTTTAGCTCTATTCCGCATGCTAAACAAGCCAATGTCAACTGGTTGTAGTTAGAAAAAGGCTTGCGAGCTTGCCTGTTTTCACAGATGATGACCCCGAGAAGTGGATTCAGCGCGGTGTGGCAATGCTTATAGACACAGGGCGGTATAATGGCGCGGATAGCAGTAATAACTAAAACGCCTCCAGTCCATTTTAGCATAATTATCAGCTGTGCTGATATAAGAAACGTGTTCTATGCTGGTCAGAGTTCGGCAAACACCAGTACTGCTAACAAACACATGCTGGTGTAGCCTAGGCTGCCCAGCAATTCATTACAAACGTGAGCAATATAGCCACCAATTCGGGACCCCAAGATGCAAGTAAAATGGGTGCTACAAAAACAGAGAAAGCAAACTAAAATAAAGCCAACGGCACACTCTAAAAGCCCAAGCGCACTAGTAGTGGCTAATCTAAATTGGCTAGTCGCCACACTCTGCATTGTCGAATGAAGACAACGATTTGAAGGTAGAGCACAGCAAGTAGCTCTTTGAAATGTTTCAGCAAAAAATACCCCGCAGCATGCCTGCGTTCACCATTGTGATGGGCCTTGAAGTAACATTAGTCAAACTGCATGGGAGAAAACCTGGAAAAGCCAGCTGGCTTTCGTCGCAAGCTCAATATGCAGCTTGCTTTGACTGTAGATGCCTTATAATCCGCCGCTGCATACAGTGCTTTGCGGGCAGCCGCAAGCACATACGTTATAGTCCTCGTAGTATTTGAACAAACTTTACACGGAATATTGACACTCAGAACAAATGATTATTGCCCATGCGATTCTCCTGGCACAAATCTCTCACCCTTAAACAAGCCACAATGCTTGCAGTATAATCTCCTGCAGGGATTCAACCTACTGCAAATCTCCAGTCCACAAGCCTTTGCCAATGCTGCCTCAACTCGTAGAAGCTCTTGCACAGTGGAACGGCGGTTTACTGGTAAATAGACAATACGGCGCATCATGGAAGCAGCAATAGCTGGCAATCCCATTATGCTAGAAACGCTAGGTGACGGGCTGTAGCAGACGAGTGTGGTAGCGTCGCTAGCAGCGTACAACCCGTTTTCCCGCAAGGTAGCCTCGAACTCATCAAGTTTGGTTCCGGCGGGTGTGACAATTGGAAAAAGCCTGCATAGATGCAGCACGAATCTTCGGCATGGCTCGGTAAGGAAAACAGATAATTACACATTCGTGGCACTCTGCAGAAGCTGCTGGCAGATGTAATGGCAGCAGGGCACAAGCCACAATGATTTTAGTACTCTTCAGATAAAGTTCAGCCCTACCAAAACGTCTTGAAGGTTGCACCGCTTCCTGGCATTTGAAGTCCCAAATTTTGCAGTCTTCGGGCAAACCCAATTGTTCGCAACTGCTGTTCCATGAAATCTGACAAGTTCCATGACTCCAATCTCCTCCTAGAAAGATACAGAGAAAGTTGGGTACTACCACCACTGGACGCATATGACACTCTAAAGCCATAACAAAACGCAAGCGGGGTGGGGCATTACCAACAGAAAAGTGAGCAGGTTTGTAGTCTACGTGTAACGTACAGCAGTACTGCAAGGAGCGAGGCGCTCGGCTGCACCCGCAGCAGCTTGAAGATTTCGCCTTTGGAAGGAAATCCTCGAACCTGCAGCAGAGGTTACGCAGTAGGCGAGCAGGGGACCTGCACTTGAGCAACGAGAGCATGTCGGATGATGCTTCTTCTGGATTCAACATCAGAGCTAAAGGAGTATATAATAGCAGCCCACTTCACTCCGTGTAAAACCTCACAAATGATTGCAAGAATGTTCCAGGATTCCACCCTGGTAAACTGAAACACAACAAGCAACAGGATAGCCAAAATAAAGTCAGTTCACCGTTGCAGCCTGTGCAGAGGAGCATCTTTATCAATCAGCTCACAAAAAAAGCCGCATCGAACAACTGTTATATTTTCAATTAAGAGCTAATGTGTCTTATCTTACTAGCATAATCTCAGGAAACCCTTCATAATGTGCTTGTTCTGCAAGATACATGCTCCTAGAGCCACGCAAAGTTTGAAGAAAAATGTTCGACGGCTGCTGAATGGGTACAATGCTTGCAACGACTGCATCCGTGCAGCCACAAACCGACTTCGCACCTGAGAGCACAAACCGATATCAACGCAGCGGTTATACAGCTGTTTTAGTCAATGGAGAACTTGTCGAAACCCAGTCTTCTCCACAACGAGCACACAGCATGCTTACTAACAATTAAGCTGACCGACGCTATCAGCACTTTCCGCCGGCTTAACCAATACTACACGTTTGTGAGACGCACGGTGGCGATGCCTCCGCCGGCTGCAGTGCATGACTTGATTAATCCAAATGAGAAGAGGCTGATATCTGCTCTGGGATGGCCTGAGCACACACACACAGATACACACACACAACGACGACGCCGTTAAGGACGATCAAACTCAAGTAGATAATGCCATTAAGCACCGTCTCAGCCCGCTTAAGAGTTGAAAGAAACTGAATGACGCTCGCCATTTACCTCTGTACAAGTCTCCCACAAATGATTCCGCGCAATCTTCTATGAGGAGAAGCTTATTTTCAGTGCAGAAATCTACGAGAGGCTGCACATTGCAGAGCCCACCGTAGAGGTGAGAGCAAACAAGTGCCTTGATCCGTGAGCCCCAGCAATCCACCGCCTTCTGTAAGCTTTTTTTCGTGGGCATCAAAGTATGAGCGTCAAGATCTAACGGTTGCACCAATAATTGGTGGTGCTCCAGTATACTAAACATCATAGGGACGTTAACAGCTGCCATGAGAACTACGGAACCCCTCGGAAGCAGAGCTGGCTGTATAGAGCGAATGGCCTGCACATAAAGGTCGAGCAGGCTGCGCACACAGAGTCCCACGACACAGCCTCGGGCACTACGAAACGCAGGAAACACCACAGGTGTCAGGTGCTCTTGCGCTTCGACGACGACTGGTTGTCGGGGGTCCGGTAGCGAGACTGTCAGGTCGGTGTCGGCATAGGCAGCCAGGAGCTCCAGTGGTGGAGCTATAATTGATCCATCATCCCTCTGTACAGGGCGCAACGCGGAAGGCAGTGGCGGGGCGGTAGCATGCGCATTGGTAACTAATGATCCCTTAAGCGTCGAGCTCGGCAGCAGCCTATGCTCACTCGTGCCCTTATTTGGACATTGACCTGATGCCTCGTCACAGCTGACACTTGTGCTTGTAGTATCACTGTTCAGGCTCGCGGTGGTGCTCCTCCCTTGTGTTGCTCTGTTGTCCTGGTGTTGCAAGCTACCGAGAAATAATTCGGAATGCTGCTGGATACGATTGTGCATGCCATTCTGACACGCAAAAAGCCAGAATTTTTCCAGGCTCCTATGCAACTGTCTTGTCCTTTTAAGCCTTCCCTCTACGCCCGAGAATAGGGAGGCTGTTGCCTCCTCCACGGCAGCTGTTAGCGCGGTTCGGAACATCTGAAGGACCGCTGGGAAGTCAACGTCGACATACACTGCAAGAGCTCCTAGGGGATTTCTTGGGCAAGGCGGATCAATACATTCACCAGCATAGTCGCAATGTGCAACTGTGGAAGACGGCAAATGAGTCTCCATAGCCGGGTGAAGAGGCCCAGCAAAGCAGTCCATGGCTATACGATCACGATTCTCCCCTCCAAAATTGAATGGTGAACGTCTTGATTTTCCAGAGCTGTCTTCGACTGGTTTTACTTTGGGACGTGATCTTTCTAAGCGCATATCACCTCGCTTTAGGCAGGTGGGCTTGGTAGAGCATACCGGCTACTAGCACCACACAACCAGCCCTGTTACGCATGCAGATCATACTAAGACGCCTCAATATCGGACTCCAAAAGAGCATGCATGCACTTAGACCCATGACTCAAGCTGTTAGGAGCTAGCAGCTGAGATTTCCAACCAGTGGTCCGCTGAACAGGAGCTCGCCTTGGTTTTGCAGACCTAACGGGCTACTCCACCTCCTCTCGAAAGACGTGTAAAACACTGGATAAAATATAATGTTGGAAAGAAGCCGCGGATCTGTAGACTCAGTCAAAACACCAGTTGAAACTTGTTTGCAGAGTTGATATTGTACCCTGCATGCGGCCCGCCGCTGTTATGCCGTTTGTAGCGTGTTCGGTCCAAACACGCTTGTCCTGTACCTAAATATGGTTATGAACTGGCTTTTCCACCTGTTGGCTCAGAAAAACATTTACGAGAAAGCCTGGAATTAGGCTTTCCCGGAACGAGTGTATCCGGAACCTCGAGGGCTATTCAGCGTCAGATGTATGCCTGCATGCAATACTGTGACGAATGGGGGAAGTTTCTTTAAGTTAGTGTACACTTAACGTTTTCCTTGCGTTATAAGCCCTTGCACTAAAGGATTTAGCCTCCTTGTCCCAACATTCGTGCGCTTTTAGCTGGGCCGCAGAGAAACTCCTTCGGGCCTTTCTACTAACTAAACTACATTTCAAAGTACAGTTGCACTCCCTTCCAAAATTCAGAAACTAGTTAGCTATTTCCTTGATATAATCTTGCACACTTCTTAATGCGGAGCATTTTAGCTTCGCAATTTGAGAGTATGTGCTGTGTGTTTATCTGCACGCTTCTGTGCGTGCAATGGGTTAAACCAAACTGCCACTTTCTAGCTTGCTAGTTATGATTGCCTGAGAATTAAACAATAACCAACTTTTCGCTTTCGCCGTATATATGCGTTTTTGCGGCAGAAAGAACTCAGTTCAACCATAGGCAGCATCGGATAGAGCGATCCACATGCATTATCTACTACAGGGGTTGTACTAAATCAAATATTCGCAACGAACTAGAGTTTTCATCTGCCTGTGCATGCGTCTTCATTCTTACGGAGTAGCACTAGTTCAAATCAACAAGACACAATGTTATGTGCATACGCGCTGGTGTCATTTTCAGCAACCTGTGACTGGTCAGAGTGCTGGGAAGGTGCAGCTTGGCTCAACCCCAGTGTCCCTCTCCACTGATGGCGAGAACTCTCAGGGTTGTGCACAGGGTAACGTGGGAGCTCTTCTGAAGGACACCTAATTGCCTTCTCTCGGGCTTGTATCAGGTCTGGATCTACGTATTTCCGTGGAAAGATCATAGATGGAGATTTACATAAAGTGTGGCGTAGCCAGCTAGAGATTTTCCCATATCGAAATACACGGCCTCAATCCTCCGAAACTATGCATCGAGAGGAACGGCATGCAAGACAACCGATAAGCTTCCGGTCTATCACCACTCCCCAAGCACACAGAAGCGTAAAAGCAATGCAAGAAGGAAATCATTTGCGCGTACCCACCAGTAGATAGATACAGA